TAACGGCAGCTTTTGAGGGAAATTGTTTAAAGCTTGGCGCAACCTCGGAATAGCAATTATAGAACGCTCCCAGGTTCTTGCATCACTCTCCTTTAAGTGGACTCTTAGAAGTGGTAGCAGTTGGAACAGCCGGTAAGCTTATCCACAATGAGCCCGCTTCTGTTTTAGGGTCATGATTATAGTGGTCTTGTAACTCCGTGTTGCATGCCTTTATTACTTGTGCCTGGACTTTGGTAGTGACATTTAGGCAGGTACTTACCCCTCCAAAACAAGGTACTTATGTTACTAATGGGTTGGCAACCTCTCGTTGGCCGGTTTGGGCAGTGTTTATCGTTCTTTTTCTAAATACCTTCAGTTCAATTCAATTTTATTAAGGGAACGGTAGGCGAAAGCCTTAGAGCTCCCTATTGGTAACAAAATGGCTAAGAAATAAATTGATACAGAATGAGAATTAAAAAGAGATCGTTTTCATAATTGCAGGCCAGGGGCGAGCAGCCGTCGGCAACTCCAAACAAGTAGAAATACACAACTTCTCACTTATTATGAGTAGTATGATTGCACCTGGTGGTGAATAAGAAGTTTAATGCATGCTCAGTTTGCTCTTACATGTATTCACACAGGTGGAGAGAACAGCATCTTCGGGTATCCTGATCCACACTACAACCACTCTGAAGAAAAACTTGCGCTCATCGATCCTTGCTTTGCCTGGAAGTAGTTTTGGGGGCAAAGTGGGCGTGTTTTTCTGTGTGAAAAAAATCATTGGCGACAAGTCAAAAATCCAGGTCATCCATAACACGGAAAACCAATGTGAAGTCCCCTCGTAGTTGCCTGTACGAGAGGGGAAATCGGTTGAGGGTCAACAATATGTTCTCACAGGACAGTGTTCCCAACCCTTTGGTCACTTTTTCGTTTGCCTCTGGACCTTCTATAATACAACAAAGTCTATGTTATTTGTTAGTTATTATCGGGAAATAGATTTTTTTCTAGCGATATTCTTTTAAGCCACCGGACTTCAGGGACCTCTGCATTAACAAAAATCATGGCAGATAAGGCTAGCTCTAGCTGAGTGTCTTCCCCTGACCGCTCGGGTTATGGTGCCCGCTCGTCCCATTATGGCCTCGAACTCAGTGTGAAACTCGCGCGGTGAATCGCATAGCGTCCAGGGGTGTATGCTTAAGGCCAGGGAGACTGTGATTAAACATTTCTAGGTTATTGGCCGTCATCAGCCAGCCATAGCCGGCCCAAAACCTGGGGAAACTGAGGTTGAAACCCGGAACCTTTTCTCATTAAATACAATCTTCTGTCATTGAGTCAGGGTCTCGTTGTCCTGTCAGCGGCTAATCTCAAGGACCCGAACTTTGGGGTCGGGTATGGCTGGCTGACACTGGAAATCGACATCTCACTTCCCTTTATCTCTGTTGGAACTCGCTTCAAATAAATTTACGTTTTGTGTACATAATCTGACGGCCAAAAAGCATCCAATTAATACTCTTTTTTGTAGTATTTAAGAAACAAACATAATATCGCATTTTTAGGAAGTAACCCGTATTGTCACCCCCAACAAACGTTTCTGTATATGTACCTGTAGTAGGCTCCGGCACGAAGGTTTAGTGTTTCTTTGGGTTTACGTCCATGAATACTCGCAGTTCTTAGGCGTTTTTTATGACTATCTGACCCTGTTTTCCCACTTACCTCTTCTGTGAAGTTCACACCATTCTAAGTACTGTTATTTCAGATATGGATAGCTAAGTACTGGTTTTATTTTCTTCAGCCGGCGAAGCGGCCCATGTAGATACACAAAAGGAGTCCATTCTCCAGATGCTGCGCAGCCGAAGGCTCCCGGTGAGTTTCTTCCAGAACCCTACGCCTAGTTTTGAAAAGTTCTTGTTTTTCGACCAAGTCTCTATTTCATTCCTCCAGCGCGAAATAGCGGGCATGTATGTGCATACAGATTGGGGTAGGGCTGTCTTGTGGGGCCGCCTAAAATAAATCGCACCAGCCTAAGGTTGAATTTCTGCCAATAGGAATCGTCTACCATTCTTATTGGCCAATAGGCACCAGTAACCGGAGCAACAGGAGTTTATGTTGGTCAATTCGATTATATTTAGCTCACTAAAACTATTATAAATGGCTTTAATTTACTTTCCACTTAATTTGACACGCATTTACACCAATTAATCTGCTACTTAACCTCTAACCAAGAATTCCGTAAGACACTTGGGCCGGGGGGGGGAGTTTATTTTTAGGGAGCCCCACTAGGCAGATTAAGAAGAAGATGATTCGATCGCTTGGACGATGCTATTATTCGCCTGACGTTTCAACATCCATTTAAGAATTCAGCATCAGAGAATTTAGCAGAAAACGGTAGCACAACCCGTTTCTACGACTAATTAAGTCAACCAAGGGCACATCTTGGACGCCGCCAAAACCCCGGAAGACAGGAAAAACACCTATGGTACGGCAAATATATTCCGGTGACAGTTTTATGCATAAGACTGGGACCTTTTACTGTCATTGGGGTGGAAACTTTCAATATATTTTACTATGGTGCACGTTAAGTTTCTGACACCTCGGGTGAAATAGATGCCTGCAGTTTGTATCAATTTGGCATTGTTTCCGCTTTCGGGGAGCACCAGCCCATTGGTTACCGAGTATTTCTGCCCACCAGCTGATCCATTTACTCTGATTGCAGTATAAAACACGCGTCTTACCCGTACCAAAGTCCTTACGGACTCTCGCCTGGTGAATGCCAATTAGTCGGGAAGTTTACCAATGCGGGCTGGGACCTTTGAATAGCTATTACCGACGGTCGTCGGCTCATCATCCTCCAACCTCAGGCCTAGACAGCCTGGCGTTCGAACCGACGCTCTATGGTTGTTGAAAACCCAAGCTACGGGCCCTCTAATCTGTAACGGTCTAAGTAGTAGTTGTGCTACAATAATCACGTTGAATCCCAGGTGGGAAGTAAAAGGCAGAAGTCACCTGTGAGCGGGATTTATTGTGAACAGAACTCTCAGGCGGCAGCGACCAGTGGCAAAACCAGGGCTAGTGTTGACTGCGTCCAGCCAGACCTGAGAGAGAATAAAACAGTGGTGGCAGCTACTCAAGTAGGATTGCGGAGCAGGTTCAAGTGTTTTGCAATTGGTGTGTTGCAATTTGCCTGAGGGGGTGTCGCCTGTAGAGGTCTTTGCTGCATCGGCCGAGGGGTGGCTTATTCAAGTGTCCCTTAGGCAGGCGTTCTTATTTGGACGCACGTGTATACGTGGGTGTGTGCGCACAGGTGTACGTGACTAAATAAGCTAAGGTCAATTTTGGGGGCTGCCTGAACGCCGAAGGACAGGGGACGCTGACGCAGCCGTTATCGGTTAGCCAGAAGCAGCTGCGAGGTCAAGCTTTGGGGGACGGGGACACCAGTCAAAGAAAGCATTGGAACAGTTGTTTGTGACGACGCATGACTTTAGGGCAGTGGGCCTTGGAGAACGAAGGGGAAAAGGCATTTTGGCCGTCCGCCACAAATCTACCACGCTCATCAGTATATTTTTACCACCGGGAAACCAAGAATGACTTTGTTTTTGCCTTGCGGTTTCGTTCTAGGGTCTTTGTATATAAATTAACGAGAGCGGACGATTTAAATCACCCTGGTTTTGTCTATGAGTGCCCCTACTTGGAGATTTTCACTGTAAGGTCGACCAAACGTAACACAGTTCGTTCAGAGTAAAGTTAAGCATTCTGTTTTATAGTTTTTAAAGGCGATATAACGCAGCCTGAAAGTAAATACTATTGCCACAGTATTCCATCCTTTCACCCCTTCGGCCGCCCCCTACGAGGTTTCCTTAATTTAGATTAAGTGTTCAAATTAGGGTACATCCAGAAGTGGACCCCTCAAATACATATTCCATAACCAATCAATCTACTTAGTTTCTGTTTGACACAAGCTTTCTTTCGGACCCTGTTTCGTTTAAATGCACACAGTACATGTCACCATGGTAAAGAACGGTTAAGTGGTAGTACCTGAGCTTGCAAACGCAGGCCACTTCATCATATCTCATTATTCACTATGTGACTGCCTGCGCGAGCTCTAATTGTGAGCTCGTGGGCGAAGCGGAACTTAATTGTTCCTCTACGAGACCGGCGAAGCACATATATTCATCATATTCCCGATCTCAACCGACAAAGCAACCAGCCGGTGGTGCCATGTTAGAATAGTGAACTCAATGACCAAAGCTCCCGGGTTCGAATCTCGGGGATTCCAAACCTTGAGATTGGGTATGACTGACTGATAATGGTTAAAAAGCCAGAAATGGCCATTCCGGTCTCCCTTCGCTCTGTCGGATTCATTTCACAATGGACTATATTCAAAATTTGAAGACCACTACCTTCAGTAATCTGCTTGGCGAACTTGCCGGTCCCATTCGCCCACACTGTCGACCCTGCAAATGTAAACGCTTTTCAAATCAAGGGTGCATCTGTGCACACCGTTGTCGTTACTCTGATATGGTTTTTTTTAGTACCAGACTTTATCAATAGTCAGTCCTTTTTCGTTCATTTTACTGGCAGGTAACCTGTAATTTTAAACTCACAAAAACTTTTACTCCTTCTCTCACCCTCGTCGCGTTTAACCTTCGTCCTTGTTTCGCCTTCTTATAGACTATTTTTGAGGCCCTCGGCAAGCACGCTAATCCCGAGGCCTTCAAGATGATTATGCGAAAGCGCAAACTGCACGACCCAATCATCTCGCGAGCTCATGAAAAGCAATCCAAACGCGCCAAGCAGACTGCAGATTACAGCGAGGAGGTGGCGGAAGAGGTGAGTTTTCAGTGTGCCAATTCCGATTCGTAGTTCAAAGCATACTCTCGTCTACCGACTGAATTGTCGACTAGAGTAATGTGCTAACTCGCCTGTAGGGCTGTTGTTGCTGGACAGTTATTAGGCACAGGGTCAACATCTCCCTCCTCGGAGTAACCTCAAACTTTCCCTGGTCAAATGCTGGTCGAGAATGCTTGCTGGACGAAAGCGCTGCTAAACTTTGCATTTATCGGACCAGTTGAAGACTCTGTCTGTTTCCTCATCTCAGTGGAGGCTCTGACGACAGACTGGTTAATTTATCTTTCCTACTCCTTTTGCGTCACTAATGCACCAGCTTACGCAAGTTAAGATCACCACCGCAGTGCAGTCCACATTTCACCGTTATCGCTTGTTTGATTGCTTGGTTGGTTGGTAGCCCTCTCTCTCTATTCCGATTCTCGCTGTTCTTTTCCTTCGAACCTTCGTATCCATTCGTGGACATTTCGTGATTTTGCTTAATTGTATTTCATATTACCACACAGCGGAACACTCGTATCACCTC